TATAAATTATGCAATATACAGCTGTACTCATTCAAATAATGGTACCCACCTGCAAGATCTTTTAATAATGGTGACATATATCCATACCGCGTTTTAAAAATGTTGTGACAGATGATATACCTAGAACGTATTATACGAAAAGTGATAGCAGTCTGTACAGTTGCAATCTAATTACACCAATTGACGTAATTTCGGAGTCTCAGTTTCGGTGCGCTAGTCACTTCATATCTACCTCGTATTTGTATATAACATCATTGACTGGCGTGCCATCTACGAGAAACTTAACGTAGTGTTCGGAGGAGGGACATCATCTAATCCTATAACGCAAGTCCCACTTACCTTGCGGTACAGAACGGACGTAGAGAGCTCACGCGCCGTACTCCGCGTATATTTAAACGAATGGGAAGATATTAGAAATAATATCTCATAGACTGGATGACTGGATGTAACCGATATGAGAAATTTGTCAAGATAGATAGCCCATTTATTGAAGAATGCTGCAAGCTGTTTAGCAAAAGAGTTAGGCAACTGAGGTGCTCGAGGAAGAATCAAATTCAACATCAAGACATGGGAAACGGATAGTATGGTGATAATTGCTCCTAGTATGATGCACAGTATGGTTATACAGTATGGTTATACTGTATGGCGTCAGCCCAATATTATTTATGGTCATCCTTACTATTATAATAAAGGCAAAAGTTTATATGTATGGATGGACGTATGTTACCCTTTCGCGCAAATACTACTGAATGGATTTTAATGAAACTCTACAATAATATAACTTATCAGAATAAAACATAGGCTATAATTTATATACATATTATTTGTATATCTTTCTTTCTGTCTTTATTTCACGAACACGTACACGTTCAACCTATTCTACGCACACGTAGTCGCGGGCAACAGCTAGTTCATTATATTTTTGGGATGAGTATATAAGTAGAACAGTATATCTACTGATTTGTGCCAGTTTGTCCTCCACTATTCAATCTCTACGGTAGAGTTACGTTGGAGCTTCTATTGTTGCATGATTGGAAAGGCTTTTTGTACGAGAGGTCGGTTCACTCGATGTTAAATGATTACCGCCGCCCGCGGACATAAACAACACCTGAAGGATTGCAAATTTAACATTACAAAACAGGTTACCTCGCTCACCAGAAGAATCGCGAAAGAATAATTCTTCACGCTAGTCTTCTGTGATACTAAGAGAATATAAGAACCGTAGAAGAAACCAGAAAATTGTAACAACACCTTTCTAATTGAAGAACAAATTTAATGTTCTTTTTCTACGTTCCATAATTACACCGGGAAGGACCGCCGGCGGCACCATTATCAGCGTTTTAATTTTTTTTCTACCCTCGTCCAGGAAAGTCCCAGTGGGTTATTAAAACGTATTCGGGATTTTATGAAGGTAAAATTCTACGAGATCGCCACAAGCCAATTTCGCCTTACAGACGATTTAAAAAATATACCGTTTCAGCCCGCATGTCTCGTAATCTAGGTAAGCCTCAAAACGTAATATTAAGTCATTTTCTAAAATTAAATGTGCATTTATATTCAATTTTATTTTATATTAGAAGCATAACTTCGCATACAACGTACAGTTATGCACTAATTGAGTCTGAAACACTTTTACCGATAAAAGATTTGCATAAATCTTTAGTCCTATATTTCTGTCCATAATATAAAAACAAAGTTGTTATCATGGTGTCTCGAACAAAATATCCGATGGCGCAATAATAACTCTTAATGCTTTGGCAATTAAGACGAACCAAGATAACGAAGAAATAAGAACAAATTGTTTATTGAGTTTTACAACCATAATAATAATATCTTTATAATAATAATATGCTTTTAGTGTTGTTTAGGAATGTAGTTACAAAATAACTTACAAAATATTTTATTTGGGTAAAACCAGTAAACTTTAGCTTATGTCGTCATCATCATAATTTCAGCCGGTTTTACAACTGCTGAACATAGGCATACCCAGGCACATTTCTCGTACATTTGTTTACATATTAGGTATTTAATATTTTACAAACTGTCCCCCGCCTGCTTCGCTGGGTTATACAATCTTATTCTTTTTTTTATTATACACAAAAAAAAGAGTGACAAATAAAGGATTACAAAAAAGACTGTACAAAGGCGAGCTTAACCCTAAACAGAGTTCTCTGCCAGCAAACCTTTAAAAATATTTAAAAATAAATAAGTAATCAAAGGAAAATAGGTAGGTGTGTACAATGAAAATTCTTACTTAACACATCATATTCTTAATAAACCTTCTCCGAAACACGCTACATCTTTTGGTATAAGTAATAGGTCCTTACATATGAAATTAGCGTTTTGTCGTACTGACCACTTTGATCTGAAATATCTCCTCTTTCATTAAGAATTCCAAATTCAAATTTATAAAGTTATTTAGCATTTGAGTTTTGAAAACAGTCATTCATTTGTTTCTTCCTCAATATTTTATTCTTTGGCGTCGCTTATTACCGCACAATGGAAAACATGAAATATCGGTATATTTACGAGTATGAGTTCTACCCTGGCACCAGTGCTGCAGAAACAGCTCGACGGATTAATGATGTGTACGGCGCTGGTGTCGCAAAAGAAAACACGGTACGTTTTTGGTTTCAACGTTTTCGTTCTGGAAGTTTTGACCTTCCGAACAAAACCCGTGGACGGGCGGAGACCAAAGTGGTAAATGAAGAATTAAAGGCTATTGTGGAAGCGGATCCATCACAAAGCACTTTAGAGATAGCGGCAGGCTTCGTGGTAAGTGATAAAACCGTATTAATCCACTTGAAACAAATCGGGAAAGTAAAAAAACTTGAACAATGGGAAACCTCATGAATTGAGTGAATCGAACTTGCAAACACGCGTCGACTACTGTGTTACTTTGTTCAACCGACACAATAATGAAGGGATTTTATATCGAATCATTACTTGTGATGAAAAGTGGATACTATACGATATTCGGAAGCGCTCATCGCAACGGCTAAATGAAAATTGACTCAGAAAAAGTTATTTGTGAGTGTTTGGAGGACTAGCACCGGTGTCGTTCACTAAAGCTTTCTAAAATCTGGCCAAAAGATTACGGCAGATATCTATTGTCAGCAACTGCAAACCATGATTTAAGAACTAGCTGCTAAACAACCGAGATTGGTCAATAGCTCTAACCAACAACCACTAACTTAGATGAGCTACAATTGGAATGTCTGCGACATCCACCCCCGGACCTTGCTCCAACAGATAATCATTTTTTCCGGAATTTTGATAACTTCTTACAAGGAAAAAATTCAACTCCTATGCGGAAAACCAAACCGCAATCAAAGAGTTTATTGATTCTCGCGCCCATGTTTTTTTTAGTAAAGGGTTGATCCCTTTACTAACACCCCAAACTACCTGTGAGATGGCAAAAGTGCATAAATAACAACGGTGTATACTTTGATTAATTAAATATATTTTACAAGAAAAAAATTACTTTATATTCCTCCCTTACAAAACGTCAATTTCATATGTAAAGACCTAATATTGTTCCGATGGGTTCAGTAGGTTTCGCCGTATAACCGAACAAAATAAACGGCTCTCCATTCATTAGTATAGATAATAATAGCATAGCATTATCCTGAGCCACCTGCATTCATCGACTCCCCGCACATTTGCTTCTGCATAATATGTATTATATTTAGCAAAAACTAAATTAACGATTTGAATTATAGAAAAATGTAGACGAAAGATTATTTAGGTGCGCAAATATTCCTCCCGTGCTTCTAACGGAGTGAAAAAGGGAAAAAGTTACATGAAGCCATTAAAAGTTTTCCTGCTGTTCATCGCGCGCCGATTAAATAGTTTGACGTCAGTTATTTAATGTTATAAAATAGAAGAACTACCTCACGAACCGAGACTAACTTTTAAATGTGTTTTAGTATATGTTCGGGAACAAAAAATATCAGAACACCAAATAGTCTATACAGATATTTAGTATAATTAACCTGGGACTGGGCATTTTTACGTTCTTTAATACGGAAATTTTTGCCGTGGCTTAGGGGAATATTAAAGTTTTTGTCGGTAGTCCTAATTTGTTTACTTCTTTCATATTCAACAGTTATTATTTGCCAATTTCATTTTCTAAATAAATATGGGTACTAACCAATTCGTAATCCATTTTAGTTTGAAATATTTTAAAACAATTTTTGTATGGAATAATTCAGTTCAGAATCATGTAAAAAGAATTTAATCATAAAAACACAGCAAATGCGACAGTTTCTCCTAATTTTCTCTTGTTATAACTGATTTTGAAACAGACGCAAAAGTCAAGGCATTATTGAGTGCAGCATTTATCTTATCTCTTATCGGTCCAATATGATCGCTACTCGCCTCCCTACAGGTGCCCGCTTAGATTATCCAACTAATAAACAAAAAAAAGTATAAAACGAGAAGCACAAATTGAGGTTAAGCAAATAGTCGCGGAAACATACTTATGTTGCTAACAGCCTGCATGGTCAAGGACTTGTACTGACGTCAGCCTGCGACTAGGAGAGCGCTATATTTTATTTTGAATCACGTACGGCTCGGCGAAATCATATCGTGATCGAGCGTGCCCTGACAGAGGCGCGATCATCGTCCGCGGCGAATGTTTTGGTGCGTGCGGACGGCGCGTTGACGGTTTAAGTTTACACAACATTGTGCACGCGGGCGCGGGCGCGCGGACACGCATGGCGGGCTCCGTAAATACGCGACGGGCGGCCGAGCGTGGAACGCCCCACGACCTACCAGCCGCCGTGGCGGTCGGCGCCTAGCGGACGATAAACACTCACCTTTTTCACCTGGAAGTGCTCGGGCCGCAAAGTCTCCTGTATCTCCTGCTCGACGCCGCGCGGCGCGGCCTGCACCGAGCTGCGGAAGCCGTCCAGCACGCCCTTGAACGTGAACTTCTTCATCGCGCACCGCGTAGCCGTCGCGGATCCTTTGTCCGAGCGCCGGCCGCGGCTACATCACAGCCGTCCGCGGCGGACAGCGGGCCGGTTTTGGCACTGTTGGCGCGCCCGCCGCTCCGCGCCGCCGTCGGTGCGCACGCCGGCGCCTCCGCCGCCACGCGCGCGCCGCGCCGCGATCGACGCCGAGGCACCGCCTCCGGAATGTACGGCAATGCGGTCTCGCCCGCGATCGATAGCCGTCCGCCACACTGCGACACGGACACACGCGCACTCGGCCCGCAACACGCGCTCCCGCAGCACAAGGCACACACACAACGCCGCGGCCGCCCGCCAACTGGCCCGAAAGAGCGCGAAATGTCCGATCGATGCGATCACACGTGCCACAGAGAGAGATGAGAGCACATTACTCGCGAAGGTTTATCATCGCCGCGCCCCGCGAAGGGAATGTACAGCTGATTTTCGCTACTGCACGCCGCCCACAGGTGGCGCTTGACGCAAAAACATACGTGACCTGTCAGTTGTCATTTGTTACTGTCAGTTGTCAGTGCGCGTGGTGATGTCAAAACATCACGCACCGAAAAAAGTTAACTTTCACAAAAGAGTTCCTTTTCTCAAGAAATGTCGTTTAAAACTGTTGTAAGAAGCTTTCGGACGCTTAGCTATGTGGGAAGTTATAAGAAGATACGAGACCGACCTTACAAGTAAGTAAAATTTGAAGCTATTTTCATGTTTATGACCCTTTATAGTTTTCCTTATTTGTTATTAATAACAGTTTTAAGGTTTTGTCATTAAACAGTTCAATTCATTCTCCCACTTACCTTAGTAGTATACTTTTAAACGAGTCTTATATAAAAATATACTATCTAGCTAAGCAGTACAGTTTATCTGATTAAGATAAACTATTGACACATTTCGGTATTAGAATTACTGAATATCGCTTAAAGAAACGCTGTTATGATAAGGTTAACGTGTTTTACAAGAAAAGAAAACGCTTTTTTTAATATGTTTTATCCAAATACAAGCCTTATAATTTTAAGTGGATAGTAATATATTAAACAATTTTAAAGAGTAAAAGTAAAAAGATGAGCAGTAGCAGCTCATTTTAAATTTAGTATATTGTAGGATGCTTTATAAAGATCACATTTTGCCCAGCTTATTTAACATTATTTGTAAAAGAAATATGAATTTATTGACAAAAAATGATTTACTTATAAAATATAGAATCTTAATTATTTTAAATGGTATTAATATTATTAATCTAACAAACATTGTTAAAATCTTTGCACTAACAATTCAAAGGTATGGTCTGTTGAGATCAGATTGTAACTCTCTTAAAAGTTATATAAGAGACATTATTGTTTTAAGCAAAGTTTTATCAAATGCTCCGAAACCATTTTTAAACTAATTGATAACCTTAACATCTTTATCTAACATTTAGTCTTACAAAAAGTATTAAATAATAAAACTAGGCATAGCAGTCTCATTAAAAGAAAAAAATAATTGTTGTCTTGAATAATTTAATAATTAATTATTTATTTATTTATTTATTTTTTCAAGGAAAACAAACAGCTAAATAATGAACTAACAAATAATAATAATGAAACATTCTTTTTACCTAACTTCAAGCATAAAATATCGCTAAGTTACTTGTAATACATACCATGGTAAGTAATTACATGCCTTATGGGGTCGTTGACCTTCATTTAACGACAAATTGTAATGTACTATAAATCTAAAAACGAGGATGTCTTAAAAAAAGTAATCGGATACAATGTTTATTCAAATTCTATTTAATGAACCAGCATTACTGTATTCAATTTAAAATGTCTTACTGTCTGGCCCAACAGATATTGACAATTCAATTTGAACTGGAATAAGTAATAAAAAAAATAGTACTTATTTCCAAAACATTTTTTATTGTAATTCTTTTTGATGCACAATATTGTGAGTTTTTACATATTGTAAACATTATACAACATTATTTGTATACATATATTTAAGTAAATAATAAGTAAATAAATAATTTTTTTTAAAGTAAAAGAGTAAGTAAAAACAAATGGTATAACTGTTAAGAACTGAAAGTCCATGTAACTTCACGTCGGAATGACAGCATAGTAAGCCTAATTTTTTAAAGCTGATAAAAAAGTTCAGGAGGCAAGTATTGTCTCTACGCCAACAGGTTTAAGTTCCTAATTATTTCTCAACTTCAGGTTCTACTGTGCGGCATTAATTGGGACGGGTTTCGTAGCTTACAGCCAGATGAAACGTAACAGGGCAGAAATGAAAGAGATAATACAGCTGAAGAACTACATGGCAGAACCGATCACGCCACTGGCCCAGTTGGAGAAGAACCAGGACGACATGAAAACGCAGATGGAGCTGCTCATCATGAGAATACAGGCAGAGTTCTGTAGGGCCCTGGAAAAAGAAGAGGATGAGGTAAATCACGTACTAGATTTTTAAAGGCTCAATGTAATAACATTTTACTGACATTCCAATCCAGAGTTTTAAAAAGCTAAGCTCTTTTCTATAAAAATAATTCTGAATGGCCCTCGCATTCAAATATATGCGCCTTGTAAAAACTCCCTATAATTGAGATTACATGTCGATTGTTGCCATAAAATTTGTGTTCATTAAACTTTGTGTACATATAATTTTGTTGGTTATCCGAAATAAATAAATATGCAAATTCCTAAGAATTAAAAATAAAAAAATTTGAAAAACAAAGAGACTAATCTCCATCAATTGATAAACAATTATTGATCAAATTATGCACAATATCTGCAAAATTTTCGGCAGGACCCTCGTCCCCCTCAAAGTAATCCTGATTCAGATATGACCAATTTTAAGACAGTTTTCGTGCGCTCTTGCAGACGTTGCAAACCTAATATTTCTATGTTCCCTTATTTATTGTTTCGTCACAGAGCCAATGATAAAATTATATATAAGAATGATATAAATGTTAATAATGTAAATTTTAGATCCACGTATAGTACCCACAAGGTATATTTCTTTTGTAGGCATGGGAAGACGAAAAGACGGTCGACGATTTTGATTTCGACAGCGATATGTTTGTGACCTCACCGGTACGATTTTCCTATTTTGAGTACTTAGAACCTATGTAGACCTAATGCATTGTCCTTAAAAAAATTCTAAATATTTTGCACCGTTAAATGTGGTAACTATTGCTCTCTAACAGGTCTCTCAACACAGTGAAACATCTCAATATAACATGCACAATTAAAGAAAAATAAAGACATTTACGGCCCGAAATAAGATGATTTGCACAAGATATGTATTAGCCTTTACTTTGGCGAAGGGCGGAAATAAATTTCAAATGGGATCCAAAGAATAAAAAATGTTTCACCGGAGGGACAGGAAAAAATCAAATTTGTATGCTAAAGGAGAAACGCGATCCATTGAAAGTGCCTAATTGTATCATGTTTATTAAACAAGCGCGAGACGGACTCGCGCACGAAGTGTTCCGTACCGTTATCTATAAAAACGGCAAAAAAAAATCATGTCTATTGCATGGGAGCTCCACTCAAATATTCTTTATTCTGTTGTTTAGTTTCGTTGTTATAGCGGCAACAGAAATGCTTCATCTGTGAAAATTTCAACTGTCTAACTATCGCGGTTCATGAGATACAGCATGTTGACTGACGGACAGATAAACTGCGGAGTGTTAGTAATAGGGTCGCGTTTTACCATTTGGTTACAGAACCCTACAGAGATAAAAACATTACTTGTTTTAATTACATTTCCTTACTCTTAGTCTAATTGCCTTACAAGGTCGATGCTCAATGACAGCGTTTGGTATATGTCAATCAAAAAGGTCGCATGCATTAAGTCCGCCTTTGTCAATTGCTGGACATCCAGTTAGTTAGTCCCTTTATCACTTGATCGTATAAACAAAACCCCTATTGATTTCCCCGTCACGCTGTTAGGAGGCAAAGTTCAAAGTGGACAGATGGACTAGAAACGAGGGCGGTGGCGGAATCACTTGCGTGCTGCAAGACGGCCGAGTGTTCGAGAAGGCGGGCGTGAACATTTCCGTGGTCTCCGGGAAACTGCCACCGGCGGCAGTGCAGCAGATGAGGAGCAGGTATGACCTATTAAGTCCGATTTACACTGATCGTCGTAGTAAGTAAGGTAGTGTAACCGGTCGGACAGTGGCGAGTACAGCTGTCTTGCCCTCCGGAATAGACCGAATAAATAAATATTAACCAACGCTTTCTCTCTTGTATCTTGTATTAACTGATGATTTTGCTTTCAGTCCCGAGACTATTAAAGCTTCAGATGACACAGAACCGGTGGACTAGCCAGAACCCACGGATTTGGGCCCTCCGCTGTGGGTAGGGCCGCGCATGTGCTCATGCGTGCGTTTAACTATGGTGTGTCAACTAAGGGCCATCGAGGTTGCGGTTCGGACCGGGACCTTGATTGCCGTCGACTGTGTTTTAGCTAATCGGCGGTGAGAAACGCCCTGGAACGCGGGTGTACCTTGTGTAAGTTGTGTTGGTCTCGCCGTGCGCGGACGCGAGGGCAAACTATTGTGTTTGTTGTTACACTAGCTGTGGGTGTAGTGTTATCCGGCGGGACCACCGACGATGGGTCCAACGTATTTAAGTCCCCTTCATCGACCGGGTCGATGAGAACGTTTCTTGGGCGACGCTTGTTGACGTTCGCGTTTGTGTCGGGTTGGTAATTTGTTGCGCTTACCATCAGAGGGTTGGGATGATGTTCGGCTCTTTAGAGGAACCGTTTGGTCAGGTCTTTAAAATATTCGCGAATCGTCGGGAGTCTGCAATCGCTGACCAACGCTTCCGTATGAGCGGTTGTTCTATCTTAACGTTCTTTTGTCTATATTTATAGGTAATCTGTTTTTGTATTTATAATAAACCACAGAATAACTATGACTTCGGATATTTCAAAGATAGAAAATTAGTCTGAATTTAAAAAAAATATATTTTTCTTTTGGCTTAATTTTTTTTTTTTTTTTTTGAAAGAAGATGGCAATCGGTATTGCGATTCGCCTGATGTTAAGTGATAATCACCGGCCATGGACACTTGCAGCACCTGTAGGGTTACTGATGCGTTGCCATCTTTTAATAAAAGCCCTAACTACTTCACTCATTAGACGAAACGCCGAAGTGTAATACTTCTACTTTACGCCGGTCTTCTGTGAGGAGGGACCTGCCCATCCGTGCAACAGCGAAGAATGCTGCGTGGACCTACAACATAGATTTTTCATACTTGATATTCGAAAAAGACTTCCACACTAGTGTTACATGTGTTGCAGAAAGGCCCATGACCGTAAAATATCAGCAACTAAACAACGAAATAGCACAGAGATTTTCGTTCGATTCCAAGACATTGAAGTCTACAAGACCACGTTAACATCATGTTAACTTCGGTTAATACGTCTATACATATGGAGAATCGTGTCTTGCACGCCAAAGATTGAAAAACTATCTGCGTCTCTTTACTCTATTGTCTATGTATTTTAAGTTAGAGTTTTGGACAAGTGAAAATATGCAAAAGTAATAATACAAAAATGAGAAAATTCCTATTCGGAAATAAGACTTGGCTTAAAGGTCTTGTTAGCAGGCCGTAAAGACCTTATAAATAAAAATATATATAAGATAATATTTTTCTTTACATACATAAGAAAGTTTTGATACATGTATTTAAACTATTGTCCGATGACGTTATGTGCGGAATGCAATATCAGCCAAGCCAATTGCACTCACGGCAGTGAACGTGCGTGTAAGTCACTTCAAGGTCATCAACTTGAGTGAACAAATGTAGGGATAAATGTCATACCGCTGGCTTGTGAACATCTTATGTTGATTATAATCATTAGGTACTATATTACGAGTGTTTTTCGCGCCATGAATGATACATAGAGAATGACAGATACATACATATACACAGAATGATAGGTTGCAATTTAAAAAAAAAGGCGTATCTATCTAATACCTTTAATATTAGATTATATATATGCTAAAAATCGAGCTAGCTAGTTTTCATTTTTAAAAAATGTCCTTTTAAAAAATATCATTCGAATATGACGGTAAATTTCGCTAAATTTAAAAATGTATAATAGCACGGTTCTCCAGGTATTAATGTATTAATGTATAAATGTATTAATCTAATAAAATGACGAGTCAAATTACCATCAAAATGACGAGCCTGCATTTTTGTTAATTTTAGCATAAAATTAAAGAATTTGTAGTTAAATGTGGACTTTCTTAAGAGAGAGGGGGGGGGGGGGAGTATCCAAAAACCATTTATTTGAAAATATCTCAAAAACAAAGACACATGAAAACAAGTTTCAAACAATAAAGGCACTTTATGCGTACGTAGTAAGATGCGATAACTTTAATAAAAATCTTGTAAGAAAATGTTTAGTTGAATTTCGCTATCATTTCGCTGTGAATCACACAGTTATAAACTAATATTTGTAATCATACATTTTACTTGTCTTCGACTCTAGCTTCGAAGGCACCTTAGTAACGGCCTTTGCTGAGCCGTCGACAGGCCGGGCTTCAATTCAAACTATTCCAACGTATGAACTGATGATTATGTATATTGTTTGGAACACTTTGGGTAGTATGTCCCATAGACCACTGCAACCTAGAAGGTGTATTGTAGTCTTCCCTTCCAAGACATATCCCCTTACTGTTCGTAAGGTACAGGATGACATTATCATGTGTTGTAAGGACGTTTCACATACATAAATTTCTCTTGGACAAACCCAGATCCCGAAACAATTATCTGTGGGTCACACAAATAGTTGTCTCGTGTGGCAATCGAACCCCGGTGCTGAAGCCACTACCTTGACAACTGCGCCAAGCAGTCAGTAAAGATGTTGTGATTACTGTGGTTGGGTCACGCAGCAGTCTTGGCTGTTGCACGAATAGGCAGGTCCGTCCGGGGAAGTACCACGACCTCACAGGTCTGATGAGCGAGTGAGGTCAACCGGGGCCCACATTACTGACAGGTGGCAACGCATTTGTAACCATACATTGGGTGTTGCAAATGTCCATGGGCGGCGGTAATCACTAAGCATCAGGTAAACCGTAAGCTCGCTTGCCAAGTTCTTATGTGAAAAGGATGATTACACCTTCCCTTGACCTTCGAAGGGGCAAGAAATTGGAGTCGGCCGAGCTGCCGTTCTTCGCTTGCGGCGTGAGCGCCGTCATCCACCCTCGGAACCCGATGGTGCCCACAATCCACTTCAACTACCGCTATTTCGAAGTCAGGGATAAGGACGGTGAGCTGAATCATTAATAACTCCTTGTCACAAACTAACTTGTTTGAAGTAACAGCCTATGTATGTCCCACTGCTGGGCAAAGGCCACCTCTGTAAAGAGTAGTATAAGGACATGCTCGCTTTAAATTCAATATACCTACTCGAGCAAACTGTATTCGAATCACGGTGCCGGAACCAAAGAAATTGTTAATTGCGAGTGCTGAATTATCACGTGCTCGGCGCTGAAGGAAAAAGTTGTGACGAAACCTGCATATTTTTGAAACAATAGCAAATAAAATATGTCGAAGACATGTGAAGTCCGCCAATCCACAGTGGGATGGCGTGGTGGACTACGCCCTAGTACCCTCTATACAGAGGAGGCCTTTGCCCGGCAGTAGGAGTTGTATAGGCTGTACCTTTACCCATCTCAGGCGTACAGTGGTGGTTCGGTGGCGGAACAGACCTGACCCCTTACTACCTGAACGAGGATGACGCGGTCCACTTCCACCTGACGCTCAAACACGCATGTGACTCCCACGACCCCACCTATTATCCCAGGTGAGTGTTGCCATAAAAATAATATAGTTTTTTTTTGCGACGTGTGGTTTCCTCCTAGCCCGGCGGCTTTGACAGCGTCGGCGGAAGAGAATAAAAATAATAGTATCGCCTGTACTGCGATTTCTGAAGAAATTTCTTCGTTTACTTTAGCCCCGAGCAAAAACCCTGTAAGGCCGAATGTAAAAATTAACCATTCTCTCAATTCACATGTTATGAGAGTCGGAGCCATACATTTTCTCACATGTTACAAAGTACCCTGTGACTTATAATTTAAATTTTCATCTTAAGTGTAAGCACTAAAAATAAAAATCGATCTTTAAAAAAAAACTCCTAAAGCAGCCGCAAACCGCTAAAACCCGCTAAAATTCGCTATATTCAAACCAAAACTTGCTTAACGGGAATTCGGGAAGAAAATACCTTCTTTCGACCAGGTTCAAGAAGTGGTGCGACGACTACTTCACGATACCGCACCGCGGCGAGAGGCGCGGCGTGGGCGGCATCTTCTTCGACGACATCGACTCGCCCAGCAAGGAGGAGGCGTTCGAGTTTGTCACGTCGTGCGCCGAGGCTGTCGTGCCCAGCTACATACCCCTGGGTGAGTGCTTGAGGGTCCCGGTTGATTTAGACCGTTACGGTTTTTTTTTTTTTGTTTTTTTATGCGAAAAGTTGTCAAACGAGTAGCCGGTTCACCTGATGTTAAGTGAATACCGCCGCCCATGGACATCTGCCACACCCGAGGGTTACAGATGCGTTGACAACTTTTGAAAACTGGGCTCCGGCTACCTAAGTAAGGACTCATCAGACGATACGGGAAAGTATTTTTCATACTTCCACTTTACGCTGGCCTTCTGTGAGGTCGTGGTATTTACCCGGACGGGCCTGCCCATTCGTGCAACAGCCGAGGCTGCTGCGTGGCCCTACCACCGTAAAAAACCGCAAAACGGTCTATGTGAAGTTCGCCAATCCGCGGTGTGGCCGTGTCGCGGACTATGCCCTAATACTCTCTGTACATAGGAGGCCTTTGCCCATCAGTGGGACATATAATTATAGGCTGTTACTTGACTACTTAGTCAAGTAGTCAAGTCAAGGGGGAACTCCTTTATAGAATAAGAAAAAGAAACGTTTATTCATGGTCTAAGCACAATGGATACATATAAGACATAGAAAATAATGTTACTACACAGTAAAAAAATATTGGAAAAATTTAAAATAAGTGTAAATATAACATCAAAAACGAAAAAAAAATTAAGTAAAGGTCTCTGTAGCAGCATAAAACCGTGAAACGGACGGGACTCGGTGGAAGTCGAGATACAGAAACCAAAATTCTTTCTGATCCCGACACCGGTTCTCGTCGGACGGCTGCGTCAGTGCACTTTTATTTTTTTTTATGTGAAGAAGTAGCAAACGAGCTTGCGTTACACCTGATGTTAAGTGATAACCGCCGCCCGCGGACAATTGCAACACCGGTCGCGGACGTGTCGCCACATTTTGATAATGCGGGTACTTGCAATAGTACCTACAACGCAGAACGGCGAGAATTAAAACCTTCGCAGTGCAAAAGCACAAGGACGACGCGTACGGCTACCACGAGCGCCAGTGGCAGCTGCTGCGCCGCGGCAGATACGTCGAGTTCAACCTGGTGTACGACCGCGGCACCAAGTTCGGCCTGCACACGCCCGAGGCCAGATACGAGTCGATCCTCATGTCCCTGCCACTGAACGCGGTCAGTTGCCACGCCGCCGCCATCACCACATCACTCTGCAACACTCCGATCATCGACAACGCCGCCATCAATATAAATAAATAAATCCGAACATTTTAACACAACCTCGTCTAGTCTCAAACTTAGCGAAATTTTTACTATGGGTACTGGGTAGCTTTAATGCTTTTCTTTTGTAAATAAACACATTAAGGATATAAGACTATGTTTATTGCATAGTACAATGTTAACCACATCGCAATCCACTCACTATTCGATAACCACACGTCACGACTACATTAACGTGTCAGAAAAAATATTATATTTTGTCGGTTTGGTCCTCGCATGTTATTATAAATTAAACTGAAGAATTTTAATTTTTTTATAGTGCTAATGTCTGCACTTAAGATTGAACATTAGTGGTTAAAGCGTTAGGCCGTGAATGCCGAAGACGTAGGTTCGATTCCCACAGCGGCGACAACAGCTTCGTACTTTTTCTACATATTTTATTAAAGTGAAAAATGTTATACCCCTCTAAATAATAATGTAACCGTAGTTTTGGGTTTAGCAAAGTGTACTTGTAGGCAACTTATCAAGTGCAAGCCCAAAGCTCTCAAACTGAGTGAGATGGCTGGTTCTGGTTACTTTCGTCATCCCAACACCTACCACGCGTGCAATACTTTTCCCGCCTTTCCTCAATTATTGGACACGATAAAACGACGTCGATGATGTGACAAAAACTAAATGGAAAAACTCATCCGTAGACATCGCTGACAATCAAACTCACCTTATACCGCGAACAAAGCAGTTATTAGATCACCACTGGTTTACGGCCGGTTTCAATATTCGATCTTCATATATATTTGGTTACTGGAGATAGAATTTAGACGTAAGTATTATGGAGCTGATGTCAAATATCTATTGCTAGTCACAAAATCTATCAGGAAATGTAAATAAAATAAAGTTTTACAGGATACTGTAGAGTCTGTCCGAACTGTAAGTATGGCAATAACAAATGGGAACTAATACATATATTTCTAACAGAAATGGGAGTACATGCATGAGCCCAAGGAGAATTCGCCGGAGGAGAAACTAATGAAGGTCCTGAAGGAGCCCAGGGATTGGCTAAAACTCGAACGAGCCACCGCATAACTTCGCCACAAATCTTATTGTACTAAGTTTTACTTTATTTGGATAAAGGTGTATATTTGTACTACGTAAATCTTTATATCATATACATTTCTAATTGGTCTTGTGTTATTTTTTTCCACCTTAGTGCCCTGGACACCAGTTTAAAACTTAGAAGAGATAATTAAAAAACAATTTGAAACATTAATAACACTCATTAGTTAAAACAAAAATTTTCACTACCTCGATATAAAATGGTGCTAATAAAATTATTCGGTTTTTCATTAATATCCCATTCTTGTTCTACATCTACGTAATAATTTATTACAATTAATTTAATTTTGGAAAATTAATAACCGTGATAAAAACAAACACAGACTTCTTTCGGCCAGGAAAATCTTTGCCCGACAGCGGTGAGTCAAACTCATCCGCCGCTTTTCAGGACGCGGTTAACGAAAAAACCTGTTTGTCCTGAATTCCCTCGCGTCCTTTCGAGCCTCACGTGATTAATGCATGAATGGACGCATCCCTAAGGAGTTTGATATGTCGGGAATTAAATTAAAATTAAATCCATAAAATAGTTTTGTTTGACCATATAATGTATATTCGCGTTACATACAAGACATCAAACTGTATCTAAATACAAATTTTTTGGTAAATGTAAATAATTCTGACGTTCGCGTAATGCAACTAAAATAAATTTTAAATGATAGAGAAAAATTACTAATGAATTATTACATTAATGATTAATTCTTTTGTAATTTTTCTCTATCGTTTATTTTTTGTAACATTGCCCTTTACGTTAACATTATCCTGTGTTGTAAGGACGTTTTACAAACATAAATTTCACGCGGACACACACCCAGATTCGGAACAATTATCTGTGGGTCACACAAATAGTTGTCCCGTGTGGGAATCGAACCCACGACCCTCGACGCCGAAGCCAATACCTTGGCAACTACGCCACGAAGTCATCAAATTTTTAAATTTATTTTAATTGAAATACGCCAAAATCAAAGTTATTTACATTTGCCAAACTGTATTGAGTTTTTGAAGTCAAATTAATAAAATGGTGGACTTTCTTAGTGAAAATAACAAGTTTTAAATAGTTTTTTCTCGAAAACTATAAGCGACCGCGACCGCAGAATTCTACTTGCGGATTAATTCGTTAGTGATTTTTTTCTATCGTTTTCAATTTATTTTAATTGAATTACGCCAACGTCAAAGTTAAAGTTATTTGTGACCGGACTAAAGTTGCGTGTAGGTAGCACTTTGCCACGCTTTGCAAAAACAAAATTGATAATGGTAACTATGCTCTGACAATCACATCACAACACTACTTACAAACGTCAGTCAGTTGTCATTTAGATGATGGTAATACCTATATTGTGATTTTATATTTTGTGTTATGTTTACTTAGCAATTTTATTTCACTAAAATATATGCACGTCATTGAAGCAACTACGCCTAGACTACTATACAATCTTAAAAATACGGCAGTGTTCCATTATTTAAGTAAATATGTGGCGCGGCTAACGGATGCATTTCCTCCATTCTTATACCTTAAACGTAACGCGCAACGTTCAAATTCGTGATGTTATTGCTAATCAGTGCTGAAGATGCCTTTTAAATTGAAGTTAAAGAAGACGCGGCAGTACAATGTAGCTTCAAAGAGCCTGTTCGTGATCAGCGTTGAGTTGCTGGACGGTGGTGTGGCAGATTGCACTCTCTCCGTCGACAGCACTGCACAGGAATGCCTCGATAACGTTTGCCAGCGGCAAGCGATAAACCAACCCGAATTTTTCGGGCTAAGATACCTTAATCGCAGTCAGCAACCGCGATGGGCTCAATTGGAACGCCCGCTGAAACGTCAACTGGACAAATACGCCTCCTCGCACCAGTTGTATCTACGCGTAATGTATTATGTCATTTCTGGTACCAGTCTCATCACGGACGAAGTCACGCGATACCATTACTTTCTCCAGCTAAAGAATGATTTGATTGAAGGCCGTATAATTTGTGATTGTCAACAAGCGGTTGTTTTGGCGTCGTACAGCCGCCAAGCCGAGTATGGGAATCATGACCGGGAGAGGCACACGGTGGAGTATTTGAAGAATCTCTTAACATTCCCCAAACAAATGCTGGATGGTGGACAGATTATTGACGGCAGTACTTTAGCGGAAACTGGTCGCTTAGAATGGCTGACAGCTGCTGTTATTCAACATCACATGTCCCTGCATAACATGTCACAGGTAATATTATTTATAATCAAAAATCATGTTTAAATGTGATTGCAACATAATTTGATGCTTTATCTTTAATTCAGTTATCCATCTTTATATTTTTTTTAATAGCACACAGAGGAAAATATTGAAATTTGCTGATGTCTATCTTTTATTTTATATTAGAATGCTCAACCAGTGTTCAATATTTATTATCTTTGTTATCAGTGTGTCATTCTGATTAGAAAATTTACATTTTGTTTATAGTGCAGTTAATCACTGTTATAACAATGTATGTATGAGAACATTATATATTCCGGGTTCCTTTTTTAAAGAGTAATAACTAAAATTATAATAATTGAAAACTGATAACAATTATAATTTTATTAGTTTTCTCTATAAACATCTGGATAATATATTGAAATATCAATTATAAAGAAACCTGTTATTTCATATGCTGTTGTGACACAGTGTACCCATAAAATAACCTGTATATTCTAACGGACTTATTTGTTAGATATTTATATTTGTACATCCGAACACAGTAACACTGCAAGAAATTGCTGCATGTCAGGACTTCTCTTTCTAACAAAGCCATATCACCAATGCGAGAGAAAGAAAGAGCTAATGAATGACAGAATGTTCAGTAACAACTGTGGCAGGGTGTTACATTTTTTATGTCTTTCTAGCAATGGTAACAGTTAGTGCATGAATAGAGAAAAGCTTGTGACAGTGTGTTAAGTAACTTTTGTGTGGAACAAGAACTGTTGTTAAATTTTTTTTATAAAAGGTAAATTCTGTTATCTTAACACCTGTTATATTTGCCTGTTATGATAAATACACCTCACTCCTACTAAATATTGACATACTTTGTTAAGGCAGTCAGCATTGATAATTTCTCTTTATATTTTTAAAAACTTTCAATAATTTTCTTAACATTATAATAGCTTAGTTGTAATTAATAATGCTACATTCAGGTGTCACAATCAATTAAAATATCCGCACAGCTCACACAGTTTTAGAAGCCATATAAGAAGCGCTATAAATAAAGCTTGACATCTATCTGGAGTAATTAGTGGGTAAGTGAAAAGAATTTACCAAATTAGTATTACTATACTTTTATTCAATTTTCTCATTAATACGTTTCAATATTATAGTTCCTCTCTAAATCTTAATATTACTTTAAGATATAATTATGGAATATTTTGGAGAATTTCATGTCCATCTGATTTCTTTCGTATAAAAATTACTGATTTTCCTATGAACCTGGTAAATTAGGACACCTTTGGGTCATTAAACTCGCTGTTATCACTATTACTCGCTATCCAGGTTAATGTGTCTACCCCACCTTTGCAACTTGAAGCTTGGTGAAAAGTTGATAACATTAGCTATATTCATTCAGCAGTGAACACACAACAGTTTTTCGTCTTTACTCTACTGAGTTGTCTTTTACTAAGAGCTGCATGAACACAAACCAACTTTACATAGTTATCGATAATTGCCTCTTCTAATCTATCTCTGTCTACCCTGTATATCTTCAAAGAAGTAATTTTTTTTTTCGTCTTAAATAAATGTATTCGCTGTTTAAATTATTTACTCCATTTGGAACTTTGTAAATACGAGAGGTATTTATACGACTTTATCGAATAGTATTCCAGTTTTATCGTCTGCGTAAGTCTCGTCGGCTCGGCTCGCGAAAATATTGGTTTAGGTTGGCTGAATTATAAAAATAAAATTACGAGTTAAATCGACATACCGTTTTCGTGCATGGCAAAAATAGCTACACGAACACACCAGAATGGTGCCTGAGCGTTGAAGAGTGATGGAATGTAACGCTTATAGCACGGAAATTTTCGTATGTTAAATATCGTCTACCATTGCGTGTGACATAAATTAATGATAGGCCCTGTTACATCCCTTTCATGTTTAGTTACGTCTGTATTTTTTTGCGCGGTAGTAGAGTTCTCGGCGGTGAATAGTAGAAGAATCCCCCAACCGTTGCTGCTTCGTAGTCACCCATGTTATGTTCGGCAAAAAAAACGACCAAGTGCGAGTCGGCCTCGCTCACGAAGGATTCCGTACCATCTCCGGATAAAAACGGGTAAAAAAATCATGGGAGCCCCACTTAATTTTTTTATTTGATTTTTTAGTATTTGTTGTTATAGCGTCAACAGGAATACATCTGCGAAAATTTCAACAGTCTAATTATCACGGTTCATGAGATATAGCCTGATGACACACGGACAGACGGTCAAGACAACGGCTTAGCGTAGCAAAGCCGTAATAACTGTATTGGACGGACAGTATTTGCGACGAGTACTTCGTTGTTTTTAGCATGTCTTAGTGGTTTTTAACTGCCTACCCATAAATATAGGCGGCGATGTAGCCATTGGTAGTAGACGCTCAGCTCAGTCTACCCAACCGGTCTTTGTATAACCACATCATCTTGGTCTAGCTCTTGTTTTTCATGTCCATGAGCTGTAGTAATAACTTCAGGTGAATCGCCCGCTCGCTTACCACTTTTTGACATTTTCTTCCTCCTGCTCTTATCCCACCTAGGTGGTATCAGCGCGACAAGTGAATCGTTTTGTTAATGGTATCACCTAGGTTTCTGTATTGCCTAGGAGCCGTAATAGCTCGTTGTCCGGGCGCTCGCCTTTAATTACATTTACTCGAGCAACCTGAGTTCGATCCCCGGTGCCAGCACCAATGAAATTATTAGTTTTAACTGCTGACTTTATCACGTGCTCAACGGTGTAGGAAAACAACGTGAGGAAACCTGTATATTTTCGAAATGATAATTAGAAAAAAATCGAAAATGTGTGAAGTCCGCCAATCCTCTGTACGGAGGATGCCTTTGCCCAGACGTGGGACATTTATAAGCTGTTACTTTCCTAGGTTTTTACGACCTAGGAATGCCTGTCCGAAATCAATCCTCTTTGGGAGCAAACTCCCAGATCCGGAACTTTCTTCTGTGTGTCACATAACTTTTGGTACCTTGTGGGAATCGAACCCGAGTCCCTCGACCCATAAGCTTAGGGACGCCACCGGGTCATGCCGCTTTCTCAAATAAAAGAAACGGAAAATCATCCCCCTTTATGATAATTAGTGTTGCAGTCGGTGGCAACGAACTAGCTCATTAGAAGGCTCACTTTTGTCTTAAAGACTTCCACATTGTAATGGAAAGTTAAAGCTGCTACTGTTGCATGAATGGGCAGGTTCTTTAGTAATCACGGTCTCACAGATGAGAGTGGAGTAGAAACACCATACCAAATGTATGGTAAAGAAAAACCCGCTAGACCAAATCAAACTGCGCGGCTCAATCATCGTAAGAAAACTTCTCAGTCTAAGAGTCATCTATTAATAATGACGCAGTTGAACACGGAGGATACTGGTAATCGATTATTAGGTGCATACCGTAGGCGTGAATCAGACATAAACGCAGTAAATTTTATGTGACAATCGTGAGCCGAATATAAATCGTTTTTATTTAAAGCTGATGTCAGTGACCCACCAAAAATCGGAAAGTATACAAGAAACTATTTTAAACGTTTTTTTTTTTTCATATACAAGTTTTATAAGAGCAAAAGCCGGGATTCGGAACACCGTACACTTCTCCAGGGCAGAGGTTTACTTTTCCGTAAGAGAAACGTTTTACGATTTTCCAATTTTCTTATTTCAGTTTTTTTTTTCTCAGAGATAAAAGATAATTTTTTAGTTATGTTTCTGTTCTCGTTCGTTTTATAAGTGTTGTGTTTACCTGTAATTTAATTTGTACATATATTTGCAACATAATATATTGTTACAACTTTACTATTAAGTTAAACATATTTGCATTTCAATGTTCTGTATGTATTTAGTTGGTAAGCCTTAATAAATAAGTTATATAAATGCTTAAATTTATATTAAGAGAATTTTGGATGAATACAGTTTAGAAACTGGATTAAAATGAACGATAGCCTTCATCTCGTAAAAAATAACGTTGGTATAAATTAATAATAAATAAATTTAATAATATATAAAATTAATAATAACTAGTGTTATTCATAGTTATTGTACCGACGATAACTAAAAACTCTCACTCAGGAAGATTCCCAATGCAGCACTGCGGCGCGTTTTGCATGCCAATTGGTAAACTGTAACGCGATAGAAGGCTTTGCATATAAATTAAAAAATTGGTATGCAAAGCCGTCGTCTACGACAAGTCTCCAAAACTAGACTATCGGCGTGAACATAAACAAAGGAAACATTTCAAATCTGAGAGTGACATTTTAAAGGCTTGTTACCATGCCATAAAATCTTTATTAAAAAAAGAGGTACATTCATCACCATCTATTCGCAAATAATGAGCTTTAACTATTTATGTATGGACCAAGCTAATTATTTCTTGTAACAGTTAATACAAGATACAAGAAATAATGAGCTTGGTCAATACAGAAATAAATAAACTGTAAAAATATCCAGATACGTTTAAACTATCTTATTACTTTACACAAAATTAACAACTGATGCGGCGATAGCTCAGTGTCCGGGTGCTCGCCTTTAATTCAATATACTCGAGTAATCCGAGTTCGATCCCCGGTGCCGGCACCAATGAAATTGTTAATTTTAAGTGTTCACTTATCACGTGCTCGACGGTTAAGGAAACCATCGTGAGGAAATCTGCACAGTTCCGAAATAATGACAAAAGAAATATTTCGAAAATATACGAAGTTCGCCAATTTGCAGTGGGGCCTCTGTACAGAGGAGGCCTTTTCCCAGCAGTGGGATATGTATAGGCTGTCACTTTACTTTTTTTAAGAACTGAAGTGAAAAAATATAGCAATCGAATTTAATTTTTTTTAAATAATCACTGGTGTACATACAGCGACCTAAGTATTTTCACATTAACTCCGACGGAATTTCAAGTATCTGGCCTCTGCTGTTGATTTTAGTCTTAGCGTCTATAAAAACTTTTTCGGACTGGACGCCTGTGGTGAAATTTCAATTTTGGGCTTACTATATACTGTTCTTTAGCTTTAAATTAACTC